TCCAATCTTCTCCACCATTCCATCTAAGAGTTGAAAAATCTTTTCTCCAGTTTTGATGCATGAAGATGCATCGATGGATTCCATAAACAACGTTCCAACAGATGAATGAACTAAAAAGTTGATTAGTGTCCTATCCCTCCTATCAGTCCACCCATCTGACATCAGCGAACAACCATTTCTCTTCCATTCTACCTCATGATCGCCCATAAGATTTTTTGTGTACTGTACTTCTTTTTTCAAGTACGTTACTCGAGCTTCATGATAAGAAGGAGGTATCAAACCAGGGCCAAATTGCCCCACAGCTTCTAGCATCACTTCAAAACTTCTCAAGCGAATAGTATTTAGAGGAATACCTGCTTGATATATCCAACGCATGATGAATTGCACTGTAGCATCTCTCCCCTCTTTATCATATTTTTCATTAATAGTTGATTGCTTCAACCTCTTCAATCGATTTCTATCATCAACAACTTTTCCAGGGTGTTGATAAACAAATTTATCTATTGGCCCCTTTGGTCGCGGTGGTTTTAACACTGATGGACTACAAGAGTTACTACTTCCACTTCCACTTCCTCTCCCTCTTCCACGCATACTACTCACATTATCACCTGTGTTTATTCTTGTTCGCTTGTTCATTGGGGTTGATGTTGATCTAGATCCACTACCACTACCACCAACTACTTCCATTTCATCTTCATCATCTTCTTCAATCAAAGTTAAATCTTCATATGTTGGGAGGGTATTACTCTCTTCCCTTCTTGCTTTTGTTCTTGTTTGATACTCCTTCAATTCTTCTCTCACATTAGTTGGGCATTTCAAACATGCCTTTACATTTCTATTTGTCCCAACCAAATGGTTTGTTGCTCGGCAAACTCCACCTTTRGTAATTTTTCCACAAAACACGCATTTGCACGTGTTTGTATCTTTTGGATCATCCAATATGATGTATTGCCAACCGGGATGCTTGCGTTTGTTTCCACCTTCTTCCATCCTAATATAATTCAAATTTGGAAGATAAAAAAAAA